GGGGGGAGGAAGCATTTAAGAACTAAAGGAAAGTTGTATGTTTCATAGTTGCTACACTGCACCCTGACTGGCTCGTCTCCTCCCCACGATCCTTCTGTAAGGGGATGTACAGTTGTCTACTGATGGGCTTCCGGTCGCTACTCCGCACTACCCCTCCCTCTCAATAATATGATTTTTTGTTCTTTGATGCCTGATCCCTGATCCCTTCAACACCTCGTGATCACACAGGCTGGTGTGCTTCTTCCATGTGGGCTTTGTTGCTTCTTGTTCATCTTCAAGCCTTTAAGACTCCAGACGCTATAACTTTTGATAATGGGCACCATAAGCTTTCTTCACCACATTTGCTTATGTTCTCCAAGCATGCATGGAATATTGACAAGAACAAATAGGTATTAACTGAATGGCTGTCTTTTCTTCGGGCTGCATCCCCAGCACTCCTAGACTGTTCCGGGATGCAGGCGTGTCTCCTCCCTCGGCTATTTGTCTGTACACTCCGTCCCGCATCGCTGTACAGCTCCTGACCCATTTGCCTCTTCTATTGTGAGGGAACTTCTCGAAGCTATGCCTTCTCTGCCTCATCCCAACTTGCTGTTGTGTAGATAGCTCCGGGATTCGTACCAGGAAAAAGAAAGCCATTAACCAGATACTGTAGTCATTGTGGAAGCAAGCTAAAATGGAAAAAATGCAGATACAAAGCCTTCTGCTCTATTCACAGGACATTAAGGGGGGTGAGGGCATGCTATTAATTTCTTTGGAGTACTTTGCTCTGTAACAGCTATTCCAAGCTTAAAGACACTATTGGTTATTTTTAGTGAATTTTGAAGTGTACTTCTGGAAGGCTGAGGTGGCCAAAATTCGATCTACCAGCTGACTGGAAATCAGGATGGTTAATTGTATGTGGTTGTGGTTGTGGTTGCTTTCCCTTGTGAAAGACTCGTCCCTCAGAGATAGGAAAAACAGTCAAAATAGGGGGAAAACGTATTAGTGAGATTGCTCATAAAATGAATAATTTCTCCTGCAAGTGACTTAAAGTGAAAACCCCATTGTTAGAATATAAGCTGAAAGGGTACAGTTACAGTCTTCATCCATTGGATGTGTTGCTTTGTTGGCAGTTCCACTACCTGCCCACTCGGTCGATAGCATGTTCTTCCCTCAGTAAGCAGACATTGGTTCGTGATTTCCCACTCTCTCTTTAGTAAACACAGCTACCTTCTCCTCACAGCTAACACTTGGACAAAGCCTAATCTGGAGTAGTTCCTTGTGGAGGCTTCTGCAGAGCACCTGGACGTCAAAGCAGGCACCATGAAGCACTTCCTGAGGTAAGTTCACAGCTCTTCGGGAGCCCTCTGGAACAGAGAAAGCTCCTTGCCCGTGAGGATGGGGGTTCTCTTCTCACTGTGTGGTTCTTTGGCCAGGTCTCCTAACAGCACATACGATAGCCTTGTCCTGTGGTAAAGAATAATTTGCTCAGGAGAGTCTTCTGCTAGCTCGGCATGCACGTTGGTGCCATGAGAGACCACCTGGAGACTTCCGTAGAGCAGGGGCACAAAACCACGGGACAGGGAACACTGGGATCACCTTGAGGCTGTGTATTTCTTTTTTTAATTATTTTATTTGGGGCTCATACAGTTCTTATCACAATCCATCCATCCATCCATTGTGCCAAGCACATATGTACATTCACTGCCCACATCATTCCCAAAACATTTGCCCTCTACTCCAGCCCCTGATATCAGCTGCCCATTTTCCCTCTCCCTCCCCACTCTCCCCTCCCTCATGAACCCTCCATGATATTGTTTTGTCATAAGTTACACTGTCCGACGTCTC